CACTATAGAATATCTATTGATGGATAACTGAATCAATGAATCATCAAATGTATTCTCAGGTGAAAATGATGTTTTGTGAATCAATGACAACACTTTTATCTTAACAGGTCAGAGATTGTCGTCTGGTTGGTCTTCTGGATCTTGCACTGGAGAAAGATTACGTGCGTTCTGAGATTGCCGAATATATGAACCGTCTCATTGACATTGGTGTTGCCGGCTTCAGACTTGATGCTTCCAAGCACATGTGGCCTGGAGACATAAAGGCAGTTTTGGATAAACTGCATAATCTCAACACTAGCTGGTTCCCTGCAGGAAGTAAACCTTTCATTTACCAGGAGGTACATCAATACATATATGCATTGAAATATCTTATTCGTTAGAAAAGCAATGACAGATTCCCTTAAAAATGCAATTTCTGTAGGATAAGGACTGAGTCACTTATATAAAACAGTGTTCTCTAACCTCGTCTTCAGGTACGGCATATCTAATTCTTTATCACAACAGGGTTTATGGAGGTTCACAGAATGTAGGAGAATGATAATAGTTATGTCTTTATTTTATTTGGAAAATGAAAAGAGTTAATATTTATCAAGAAATGTCAGTCAGATAGTAAATGTTGTGTGAGTGTGAGCTGTTCCTATTATTATCATTGATGTACAAGACTAAAAATTAGGTAAGTATTCTCACAGGACAACAGGTAACCTTGACATCATGTTTCTTTCAATATTGTAGTGCATACTTCATCAAAAAATAAAGAATAAAAATATTGCCTGTTGAGATTAAGAATAAGAAAACCATTTTGAGCATTTCATTTCAGAAATAGGACTGGGAGTGGTGTCTCCTGCTTTCAATCTCAGCACTTGGGGAAGCTGTGGCAGGAGGATTGCTTGAGGCTAGAAAAAAAAAAGGAAAAGAAAAAATAAGACCAAAACTAGTAATAAATAGTATATAATATTACCGTATTGGTTAAAATACTTAAAGTCCTTATGAAAATTGTTATTTTTCCCAAATTTCTACTAGGTAATTGATCTGGGTGGTGAGCCAATTACAAGCAGTCAGTACTTTGGAAACGGCCGCGTGACAGAATTCAAGTATGGTGCAAAACTCGGCACAGTTATTCGCAAGTGGAACGGAGAGAAGATGAGTTACTTAAAGTAAATAAATACAGCTTTTCCCCTGAATTATTTCATAGATCTATTAGTCATAGTACCGCAGTGTGAGTTATTTTCTGGTACTTTCTTATTCAGACAACCATCAAGGAGTCAGTTTGTAATGAGAAGTGTTCTAGTGCCCCGAACCCTATTCAATCATCGTTTGTATTTAGAGTGTCTGTCTCAAGACAGTATGCCTAAGAACCCTAAACAATTCCTGGGGATTTTCCTCATGTATGAGATGAATATACTAGATTTGACTGATGTTTGCATATAATCTTTTAAAACCAGGTTATTATTAAAGTGTTCCCATCATTTGTAAATTATGTACGACGTGTCTATACTGTAGAACTTCCATATATTAATTTAAAGTATTAAAACATTTATATTATAACAATATAGTATTGAAGCCTTATTTTAACCTAGTTTGACATACTTTGTAATTTGATATGGATATTGATCCTTCTGGAATACCTCTAAATTAGAATATGCTGAAACCTCCAAAAGGAAATTTTTTAATAACAAAAATCTTATATCTGTTTTATGAATAGAATTCAAGGATTACATAGATGTATGTACAAATATGGGCTGTATATGTAGGTTACTCACATGTGTTCATATATGGTATGTGTGCGCATATACATGTGTGTGTGCATATATGTGTGTGTTTATGTGTGTGATTGTGTGTGTGTGTGTGTGTGTGTTTGTATGTGATAGAATAACTGTTTACTTAGAGAGTTTAATCTTCAGATGCCATGCAGAAGAGATTCACGGTTAAGTTACTCTGAAACTATTGTGAAATAATACATAACTGCCTATATTATTTTTCAAAACTAGGAACTGGGGAGAAGGTTGGGGTTTCATGCCTTCTGACAGAGCACTTGTCTTTGTGGATAACCATGACAATCAACGAGGACATGGGGCCGGAGGAGCTTCTATTCTTACCTTCTGGGACGCTAGGTAGAAAACGAAGTGCTCTATTTTTTAAATGCATCTTTTAATGATGGTCAGAATATTCTGTGATTCTAAGATAATGTAATTATGTAACTTTCAGGCTGTATAAAATGGCAGTTGGATTTATGCTTGCTCATCCTTATGGATTTACACGAGTGATGTCAAGCTACCGTTGGGCAAGACATTTTGAAAATGGAAAAGTAAGTTTTGGAGTTATTCAAAATATCATGTTTTCGAGAAAAAGGAGGAAATTTTGTTCTAACTTAACGTGACCACTACTAATTCTTTATGTATCCTACAAATATTTATTAAGTGTAAACCGGATACAGGGCTCTGATTTTAGTAATGTCAATTATATTAAAATAGCAAAATGTATGTTCTCTGTTATTAAAGAGTATGCAAGCTATTTGAGAAATATGACAAACATCCTCCTAGCCTGCAGAAAAAAAAAACACTTCAAAATAAGAGCAAGATACAGGGAATAAAATATGGACTTGTAACACGTGCCTACCTTGGGATTGATACGAGGATGCTACATGTCAACACTTCTAGAGAACTTAAAATGTCATCTGCCCATTGTGAAAGCAATATAAATATTTGTTAAATACTTTTTAAAAAGCTACATGGAATACAAAGAAATGATTCAATTGAGCTGAGTTAAACAGGAAAATATCTTATAAAAGGAAGCTAATTATATGTATTAAAGAATAGCAATTTATAGAGTAGTCTAAGCAAGATAAGAATGAGAAAACTATTTGGGAGTGTGGTATACACATTAACCTGATGAGTGGTTTCAGAAAGGAACAGAGAAATAAAAGTGTAAAGATATGTGGAACTCTAGCAGAAGGTTTTCTTTGAAACTAAAGGCTTCAGAAACAGCATCATACGGAAACTTCACACTTAAAGCAGAAATTCCTCACTCCTGTGAGGCACACAGTTATCTCCCTGGCTTCTTCTAGATGTCTTTCATTTTGAGAAGTCCACTACTTTGTATAGCAACTCATTCTATTGCTAAAGAGCTTTAATATTTAGAAGGTGTACCTTTATACTGAGCCAACTTCTTATGATTTCTATTAATTGGTCTTATTTCTGATGTTAGGAGTCAGAGACTCTTTTGATTTTTCTATTACTATAACATTTTCACTTTGCCAGGACAACTGCATGCTAAAAACTCTTAGTTTTGTTTGTTTTTCACTATATGACATGATTCCAGGATCAACACTGGTAACCTTCCTAGGGTTATTCTGGTTTTTATTAAATTAATTTTTTTAGCTGTGCCACTCAGAAAAACCATAATAAAAACGTTGCCAATTTTATTTAAAATATTCGGAAGTATTGTTTTGTACATTTAACTGAAAAGAAGTATGAAGGACTGTAAAATTTAATTAGCACATGTCATCATATTCAAGGCATTTTCACATGTTATTTAGTTTTATAGCAGAAAAGTAATGTTCCCATTAAACAAATGAGGAAACCAAGACACAGAGAAATTGTGTATATTGACTAAGTTTTCTCAGCTACTAGTAATGGAGCCTATGTTTTAATACTGGTGTTTCTAATACTAATACCTGCCCCATTTCAATGACATCACATGGCTTACCATGATGTTAAGAAGCCCTTGCAGGTCAGGTGCAGTGGCTTTTACCTGTAATCCCAGCACTTTGAGAAGCCAGGCCAGAACATCAGCTGATCTGAGGAGTTCAAGACAAATCTAGGCAAGCTAGCAAGACTTCATGTCTACTGAAAGTCAAAAAAGAAGAAGAAGAAGAAGAAGAAGAAATAGCTGCCTGTGGTTGTGGCACACCAAAGTCCCAGCTACTCGGGAGGCTGAGATGGGAGGGTCGCTTGAGCCTGCAGTGAGCTGTCATTGTGCCACCGTACTCCAGCCTGGGTGACAGAGCAAGGAGGCCTTTGCAGTTCTTTGGAATGAAAAGGAGAGGATAAAAATGTGCTACCTTTGCTTGAAATATAGCAACAGAGAGCCAGAGGTTACAGAGATGACGAACACCTAGTACAGGGCTGTAAAAATTAATGGAGGCATTGGATTCTAGAGCAAATCACTGCCTACAGAGACACAAATAACAGGATAAATTGAGTTTGGTGTGAAGGAGAAGAAAGAGGCAAATAGATGAATATAAAAATTTGTCTTTCCCCTCCCCCCTCACCAATTAAGGATGTTAATGATTGGATTGGGCCACCAAATAATAATGGAGTAATTAAAGAAGTTACTATTAATCCAGACACTACTTGTGGCAATGACTGGGTCTGTGAACATCGTTGGCGCCAAATAAGGTGAGAATATTTATTTAGACATCTCCTCTACTAGGAAACTTTCTGTAACATTTTATTGAGAATAGTTGAAGTTTAAGAATGTGAATGTTTTATATGTTACTGTGTTTTTAGGAACATGGTTATGTTCCGCAATGTAGTGGATGGCCAGCCTTTCACAAACTGGTGGGATAATGGCAGCAACCAAGTGGCTTTTGGGAGAGGGAACAGAGGATTCATTGTTTTCAACAATGATGACTGGTAAGTAAAAATTGATTAAAAATAAGGTTTTGTACCAGTATGTTCTTGGTTTACTCTTTTTTTCTGTTCGTTTCCTTTGATTATATCTGAAAAATCATTTAGTCAGTGGAGCAAGAAGACATAGAGATCAAAATGGGCAGAAGTCAAAGGATGATGGCTCTTACTTCTTTGTTCTCCTATTTTCACAAAGGTTTTCTGTTGTAAGCAGAGTCCTTTCTGTGCACCCTTGCAGTATATTATGTGTATACCGCATGCACAGATATATGCTCACCTACAGGTGCCACAAAATATGCAAATTAGTTAATATACTGATTGTGAAATCATTAAAAGAACGTACCTCGTAGTCCTGCTTTTTGAATCATGGAAAAATGCTGCCTTACTACTGAAATGTCTTTATTTCTAACTCTTTTTCTCAACGACTACTCTACCTAGTTTTGTGGTGTATTTTATTCACTTCTCTATCTCCTTGTGACCAATAATATTTTTAAAGCATATGTATGAACAACATGTATCTTGTGGTTAAAGATTTGCCTCAGGAGATGTGAACTTTAGTTCCCGAAACTTCTCATTGTTGGCCTTTCATCTGTGATGCTTATATGTTTTGCCTGTCGGATAAATGATTCCCTAACCTATAGCTCAGAAAACCTCCTTGCAAGCAGTTGAAATGTCTCTGTCAAAGGCCAACTGATACTCATACATAGCCCATCCTAGTGTAAATTACATTTCACCGATGAAAGATAAATACTTACATAAATATATAAGTCAAGTCGATCTCTGTCTTGCCGAAAAGACCCATGTCTAGTTCTTTAATTTCTTTCCTTTGTGGATGAAAATACCAAAATAAATTTATGTGAAAAAGCTTTATATTTCAAACTATCACTTCTTCATAGAAATGCTAGGTTGTTTGTATGTACACCCCAAATTCTTTTTAACCTCATGGGAAAGAACGAGATAAAAAAGAAATACCCTTTACATTTTTAAAAGTAATCGTATTAAGTTCAGTTGAGCACAAATTTGATTTTACCAAGGTAGCATTTTTATCAGAGTGTGACCATTGCTGCCAATCTTCAGTGATATTCTTCCACTTTGATTTTTTGGCAATACTTTCACTACAGTCCAGGGAATTGTTAGGTTTTCTGTACGGTTACTTTTGGTCCTGGGAAAGCTATTTGCATCTACTAGAGAGGCATATGGGTTTTCTTCTTAATGAGATCTTGACTGCCTAGAGTGCTACAGCATAAAATGATGCTGTTAATTCGTGTTAGAGACAGTCTGTATTCTTGCTTTGTGTTGTATTGAAGTTAAATCTTAAATTTTGTTTTACAGGTCACTTTCTTCAACTTTGCAAACTGGTCTTCCTGCTGGCACATACTGTGATGTCATTTCTGGAGATAAAATTAATGGCAATTGCTCAGGCATTAAAATCTACGTTTCTGATGATGGGAGCGCTCATTTTTCTATTAGTAACTCTGCTGAGGATCCATTTGTTGCAATTCATGTTGAATCTAAATTATAAAACTTAAATTAAAAGTATATATGCAAAACATTAGCGATGTGTGTTTCTTTTCTTACATTTACAGTACCTCTTATATTTCATTGATTTTTGGTAAAAGCTGTACTAAGTAATCAGCTTGAAAAACTCAGAATAGTAAGAATAGCATTAAAAATCCCATGTAATTATTAAACAATTATAAGATGATTAAAATCAACCTGTCATTACGCTTCAGAAGACTAGCTTTAACCTGTTTGTCAAAGGAGTTTCTATGAACTCATAGAAGCATTTCAACCAATATGTTTGTTGTCATTAGCACCATTTATCCAGCTATTGAACTCTAATTTCTGTCATTCTGTAATTCTTCCACAGAGCGTTTTTATTCATTAGTTGGAGATGGCTGGTATAATGTTGATTTCCATCCAAAGCTGGCCCTGTTGTATGCTTTTTATAGTATGCAAGTACCTTTGCTGTTAATAAGGTTAAACAAGTAGAAGAAACCTAAATCACACAATCTACAGTTCTTACTTCTACTGAGCTCACTGGTATCTTACCCTACTTTCTCTATATTCTTTCTTCTTTTCATTTTTTTCAAATAGCTTTGACGTGGTGTTTATGACTTTTTGTTCTTTGTCTTATTCTACAATAGGAATGTTTACTTAGGGCTTTCAGGGCACCATGCTGCCTGGGTTTCCTTCTCAATACTCTGTTCATTCTCCTTCATCTTGATGTTAAACATGTAATTCATTAGGGGTCTCATCTAGGTTTCTTTATAACTCTCACTTTTTTTTTTTAATGTTTAAATGAGAACATAGAAGCCATAACTCAGAAATGTCTCTTCTTTTGACCTATAATTATATCTGTCCCTGCCACAAAGCAGTTTCTCCGTGTATTGTTACCACTTCAGCTCCATCATTTTCAGCTGCAATTTCTACTACTTGCATGAGTCCAGTGAGATAGAACATACCCACAAAAAGTTACACGAAGCAGGTTTATTGCTTACAGATAGGCATCAAGAGACACAGAAACCTGAGATTCATGAGGAGCCAGCCTCCCGAGACTCAGACAATTTTCCTAGGGTGGGTGAAGTCTTATTTTCTTGTGCCTTATTTGTACCTCAGCTGAGGGACCCCTGAAAGAAGCCTGCCCCCTGTTTTATAACCTGGGCATCAAGTGATACCCTGGGTAAAGCACTGAAGGAAATGCTGTTCTAAGAGACACAGTAACAGAGTCTGAGCCTTATTACAGGATGCTGCATTCCCAGCTCATTCAACAGTTACTCTTGAGAATTATAAGTGAGAGAAGGCAAAGAACTGGGTTGGCCCAAGGCCACTTGGAGAGCTGTCCTGCATTTTCCCTTAGCATTTTCCTTTTTTTCTCCTCTTACAATGAAGAAAGTACACCTCATTCTAAGAAAGGCCATTTTTCTCTACTTATGTTAATGATAACACTCCATATTTATCTTTTGGAAGACTTAATTTTTTCAGATTATCCTCCCTCTTTTGATTTAGCAGGTTTTCCCTTTTTTTTCTGCATGGTTCCTCTCAGATTACATACATTACAGTATTCCCACAAAAAACATCAATGACCACCCTCATAACCTTTTGGATATATTACTTTGCTCATTTTCTTGTTCCACTTCCTAATTATATCTCTGGTTTTATCACATTTATCCTGATGTTATTATTACACATTGCTTCTTTGTATCAAAATATCTCATATACCCTATTAATATGTATACCTGCTAGGTACCAACAATTAAAAATCTTAAAAAGTGTATTCTTCCCAGTGAACCAAAATATTTTACACTCATAATTTTTAACATATCACAGTGTGTTGGAATAGTCACAGCTTTGTAAAGAAAAAATGTAGATACAAACTTTCAAAGGTGGCAGGAGATATAGATCCCTCTTGCTTTAGTGCATTACAATATGTAATTTATTACCAACGTACTTTGACAATTTTTAACACAAAACATTCTGGAAATGGTATGATTATAGGAGTTACAAAAAGAAGCATTTTTTCAGACTGTGATTATTTTTGGCTATGAAGAAAGGAGATATTTTCTCTATGATGTCTAATTTAGCTTGATTATTGTTTTATAAACTATATATTTAAGATCTACACAAACAAATTTCTTTTAGTAGGAAGGAGAAATTTTTAAATTTTCTGTGTAAGATGACTATGTAGTATAAAAGGTTACAAATGTGCTTTTTAACTTAGAAAAATATTCTCCCCTTCTTGCTCCATGAAAAAATGAAATGTTTTGTGGAACCCCAATGTACAAAAACTAGCAGTGAAGTTTTCTGTCTTTCAATGGATTGAGGTAAGGTGAATGCCCGCTCCACCATTTTCTACCCTGTCCTAGATTACTTGCAAACATTTATACAGCCATAAAATGTTTCTTTTAAATTCAAGTATAAAAAACCTTTAAAATCTAATATTTTCATATGTTTTATTTTAATGTCTTACATGGAAAATATTTTTGAAAGGTTAGAATTTAAAAATTTTAAGAGTATTGTGAAATAATCTATTCACATGTGGAATTCTTTTTACTATTTTCCAAAGCATTTTTTTTTTTTTTGTATATTGAATTGAAAACAGGTTGAATGTAACTCATAAGTAGTATAAATTTGTTTAAGGTTTTATTTTCTACTGCAATAATGTTACATAACAACCTTAACATCTTGGTAACTTGAAACAATATATATTTTCTTGCTCCCAAATCTCCAGGTTACTTAAGGGCAGTTCTTCATATTGCTGTTTGCCTGGGCTTTATTCCAGGCTGTGTGTTGGAGTTATGTCTAATCTATTTTATCCCTGCACTTCCCGCTTAGAAAGGCTAACAACTTTTCTTTGGACTTCAGTCACTTGGATTGTATTTGTCATTCAAAGCCGGAGCATTTATCCTAACACCAATTGCTTCTTTTTGTTCTATAGTCTTTTTCCAAAACTGTCTTTCTCTGGACTCTCTTTCACCGTCTCTGACACACATGTCCCCTTACGTCTCCAGGGTCTTCTATTTTCATGTAATCTTAATTTTTCATCATGTCCTGGACTTGCTAGTAATTCACTTGTTGTTCTTCCTGGAAGTACAGACTTGTTGAAAAAAAAAATGTGTTCTTTAAAAAGCAGCTTTGTTTTTTCATTTAGGTATTAACTTCCAGATTTAAGCGAAAATAAGTTCCAAGTTTTATGTTTCATTGTGTGTCTAAGACTGACACCATTTATTACTGTGGCACTTACAGTTTGCTTTCAATGTCTCCATATTCTGCGTCTGAAAGGCTGGGTACCAATCTCATGTGTGAACATATTTCTCAGAATCATGCAGTGCCAGCTATTTTCCTTCTGTATATTATGGCTACTGAGGTGCCTGTTAAGCAGCCAGGAGAAATTGCCTTTTAATCTATATAGGAACCAGCCTCTTTCCTTCTGATGATAATGCATTTTGTTAAAAGGTCATGCTGTATTGAAGTCCTACTTTCATGCCAAAACCACTAATGGAACTCATCTACCTACTGACGGGTGAAAGCTCTTAGTATGCCAAAGTCTTGTTTTGTTTGAGAAGAATCTCTTTCCCTCAACAGTGGTATGCTACATTAGGTCTCAATCATTGTTGCCTTTAATCCAAATTTATCACAAAGATTTTCAGTTATTATGCAAAGTTACCTTCTCTGGCTGTAACCATCAATCTATGGACCTGTCAAGCCACAAAATAAAAAGCCTGAGGTCTAGAAGCAATATTTACTTCTCAGAATCATTTGTTTATCCTTTGATAAAGTTTTGCCTTTCTTTCTTTATGGGTTTTTTTTTCCCTTATGATTTCCCAGTTTCTTGAGAAAAAAGTTCTTGCCTCCTGCAGTCTTTCTCATTAGTTGATTTATACCATCCAGTACAGCTTCTGATCATGTTGAGAATTCCACCATAGAGAAAGAAAACATTTCCTGTTGCACGTATTAAGTTTCTTGGATTTCCATGGGCATTAAACTTAGTTCGAGAATACAACCTCATGATCTTGCCTTATTCTCAGAACAAGAATTATATTACTATTTATATATTACAGTAAACCCTGTAGGCAGGCAGGAACACTTCAGAATTCTCAATGAATTCATTACTAGCTGTTAGAAATTACAACACTATTATAATTATTTTAATAATAAGACATTATCATGGTCTGAATAGGAGCCCTTAAAATTTATATGTTGAAATTCTAACACCTGAGGTGATAGTATTAGGAAGTTAGGTCACAAGGGTGGAACTCTTATCAGTGCTGTTATGAATAAGATGCTTGCCTATTCCAACAAATGAAGACACAGCCACAAGGTACCCTCTATGAATTGAGGAAGTTAGCCTTCACTAGACACAAAATCTGCTTGATTTTGAACTCAGTCTGCAGAACTGTGGAAAATAAATTTCTGCTTTTATAAGCCAGTTTATGGTATTTGGTTATAGTGGCCAAGACAGACTAAAATAGACAATTTTTTTTTCCTTCCTTTTTGAACTCTCTCAGATTGTTGCTTTAAATTTATTTTAGTGCCTAACCCTGCTCCAAGCTCCCTGTCCTCCAGCACACACGTATAAATAATTCTGATGGGAACTGACATGTTTTATTCAGTCATTCAAATGTATTTATTATGTTGTCAAAATATGTAGCATTGTTACAATGTTTCAATGTCAACATATATTTTGAAATATATGCTTTAACACAGTACTGTGATTATTATTAATCTTTAGTAACTTACCTTATCATACCTGAACTCAAAGTTTCTCACAATAACACTGCCTTATTTGGGACTGAATGTGCTGAAGTATGAAGATCCTACATCTAGTCCAGATTGATTCCTCTGGTAGTCTCGCAATGAAATCGAAGCCGCAGAATTATCTACTCTATGCTTATTATCTTCTTGTAGCTGAAATTCTGTGGTTCTACATATTGCTAATATCTATTAACCTTAGAATAAAATGCCATATTGAAATTGAAAAAAGATATTGGAACTTTGCTAAGAAAGATTGCTTTTCAGACAATGAGACCTAAAATGGAGGCTTTGTCCCTG